TCTAAATGACCACGATATTTCAACCATGGACCAGCAGCACTAATATGATCTGTTGTACATTTTCCTTTTATCTTAATTAATATTGGGAAATCAGTAAAATCTTTTCCATCCCATGGTTCAAATGGTTCAAGTAATTGAAGTCGATTACTTTTTGGATCAACATCAACTTTAAGTGACTCATTATCTTTTGGTGGTTCTTGATAAGTATCAACACCAGGATCAAAACCTTTTGATGGTAAATTATCACCTGTAGGTGCTTCTAATTTAAATTTACTACCATCAGCAGCTGTTAAAGAATCAGTTAAAGGATTAAAACGAAGATCACCACTTAAAACCATTGCTGTAACAAGATCTGGTGATGTAACAAATGCATGTGTATTAGGATTAGCATCATTACGTCCAACAAAATTACGATTATAAGATGAAATAATAGTATTTTTTTCATTTTTTTTTACATCTTTTCGATCCCATTGACCAATACATGGACCACAAGCATTTGCTAAAACAATTCCACCCATTTGACGAAGTTTTTCAGCCTTAAAAAATTAATTAAATTAAATGAAGAACAAACAAATTGTAAATAAAATATTTTTTCTTACAATTCCATCACGTTCAATTGTTGCACGTATTTGTTCTGAACCTGGTGTAACTGTAAATGTTGATTTAGCTTTAATACCTTTATCTATAGCTTGTTGAGCAATACTAGCTGCTCTTGTCATATCTTCATATGAACTATTTGTACAACTACCAATAAGACCTATCAATAATAATATAAAGAAAATATTATATTAATAAATTTTGTTAAAGATATTTACCAACTCGAATATCAAGTGGCCATTTATTTTTTTTTGCTTCTTCAGCTAATTTATCTATTGGATGTGCAAGATCAGGTGTAAATGGACCATTTACATGTGGTTCAAGCTAAACAAGATTTTTAAGAATAACAAAAAATAAAAAACTGTTCCTTTTTTCTCATAAAAATGTTGTTTTACTTCAGATAAATTAATATCAATAATTCGATCATATTTTGCATCATCATCAGCTGTTAAAAGTTCACTTTGATATTGATTAGCAAGATTAGCAATATCTATTTTATAAAAATAAATAAAAATTTCATTTTAAAAATCATATTCTACCTTCACGTTTTGTTGCTTTAAGATATTCAACCATACGTTTATTATAAGGAAATACAGATGTTGTAGCACCTATTTCTGCACCCATATTACAAATTGTACCCATTCCTACATGAAAAATCATATTTTTTTTATTTTTTTTTGATTTGATAAAAATAAAAAGTTAGATTTTTACCAGTGCATGAAATTGAATCAACACCAGGTCCAAAATATTCAATTATTGCACCAGTACCACCTTTAACTGTTAGAATACCAGCTAGTTTAAGAATAACATCTTTTGGTGCTGTCCATCCATTCAATTGACCTGTTAATCGAACACCAATAATCTTAAAAATAATGAAAAAAAAATATTTTCTTTGATTGATTTCATAAATTTTTTTTTTTTTTTTCGTCTTACTTTTGGACATTTAATTTCCCATGGCATATTAGCCATAACATCAACAGCATCAGCACCACCAACACCAATACAAAGTCCACCAAGACCACCACCATTTGGTGTATGACTATCAGTACCAATTAATAATAAACCTGGATAAGCATAGTTTTCTAGAATAATCTTTGAAGAAAAGAGAAAATCATGCTGTGTTCTACAAAATGTAGTGTTTGATTTTCATACTTGATGAATAATACCACTTCCTGGCTTCCAAAAACCAATATTATATTTTGCACTTGCTGTTGCCAAGAAATTAAATACTTCTTTATTAATATCCTATAATAAGTTAAAGTTCAAGTAGATGTCATACACATTATTGAATATATTCTATTTAGTTTCTTATTTTCTTAAATAATCGATTAAGCATGATTGTGAGCTATGTTCGTCATGAGTAGAGATGTGCGAGACCAACTTCAGGTCGAGAACCGAGAGCAGTAGAAAAAATTTGTCAGGAGTGAGGGATTATGGAGATTTACTTTTTTGGGACTTATTGAATTTTTTTAAGCCAGCAGATTCATCTGAGTTTATCTATTAATGGCATATAATAAGTTGTAGCTGTATCAAAAAAAAAGCCGTAGTTTAGAATAGTTAGTCCGAATTGTCAGCTGATACGTCACTCTGAGTTTCATTCTTGTCCTTATCATCAACTAATTATTTGTTCCCGAGGGAATCTCTTTCGTCTGATGATAAAATATATAGCGGTATTCTATAGAAAGATCCAAAAAATTCTGAAAATATAAATTTCGGAGACTGCTTCTGGGCTCATGACGAGGACTACAAGGAAAAAGGTTGTCCTAATCCGAACTGAAGATTATAGTTAACTATTCCATAGTTTGAAGCGAATTTCTTTATAAATCATATCAATCAGAAGATGATTCAAAAGCAATGACCCAAAAAAAGTACTAGTCATCGACTAAATAAATTACAAAACGACTATTAAATAGTTTTTTTTTAGATGCGATACGAATAAAGTTCGGAAGTTCTTTCTAGACCTGAACCAGATCAGATTTATCGAGGCCATAATCGGAATTAATAGAAAAGAAGTTACCAAGACCAGAAATACATGGTTCCGCACATCTTTAGTCATGAGCCATGCATGATTATTTGAGTAGCATAGAGTTCATGCACAATTTCGAAACAAAACTAGAAAAATCAATTATCTGAAACGATAATAAGACATTTCCGAGAATCGTGCAATGATCGGATTGAATTATAGGAGTACCATTTTGTTAGTGGTGTAAATGGAAAAAAACTAATAAAGAACATTCAACTTCTTCCCGAAGATCCGTACAACAGACGCATAGATCAACCTTTCATATATATATATAGATATATTCATAACAGTTTCAAAATTTTTTAGGGGGCGGAGACTAAGGCCTCTCCAGTCATATCATTAGAGATTTGTTATCAAAATTAAACTATCCTTTTCAAAGAACTGAAAGATGCCTCTGTTTTTTCAATCAGTAATTTTTTCTATATTTTACTAAATATATTTCGTTTCGTATCTGAATTCAACATTAACACATCCAATAGCAATGGAAAAAAAACAACAAAACATTAGAAGTACATGATTGAAAATCATTTCAATCTTTACTTTAAAATTTTCGTCTCTTAAAAACTCAACAAGAAACTTTTACATCAATATTTATATTAATAAAAAACTCTTATCTGTTTTTCAAGATTAGTAGTACTTTCATTTTTGTCAAATTTTTTTGTTCAATAACTAAATATAATTTATTCGCTCGATTTGATGATAACTTTGATCAAGTCATTTTAATTTTACTATATTCTTCTTTCATTTGTTTGAAAGACAATGAACACATATAAACTCGAAACTATTAGAATAGATTTTCACTTTTTCATGTGTTTATTTCTACTTGAAATAATTTATTTACCTTTGCGCGTTTTAAATCTTCATCTCCACCAACTTGTGCTTCAATTAAATGATCACAATGAATTGTACTTGGACATAAAACGCTTGGTAAACCAGATGATATAAATTGAAGTACAGCCATTTGTGCAGTAGCATCTTGCATAGCAACACGATCAGGACGTAAACGTAAATATGACTTACCACGTTCAATTTTCTAAAAACAATAGAAAAATCAATTCATAAAATTTTTCTTTGATTTTTTTTTCTTTACTTGATTTTGTGGATTATCAAGATGTGAATAAAGAATTTTTTCAGAAAGTGTTAATGGATGATTAAGCCTAAATAAAAGAAAAAATGTTTTCTTTTTAAGTTTAATACTCTTCATTGATTTGTAGTTGCAGAATCATTGGTAAGTCTTTTGAAACATGCAAGGTCTTTTGTGTATCTCAAAAGAGTAACTGAACAAATCTTCAAGGTGCGAAAACTCGCAGGAACTCTTTGATGACTCTCTAATTTTAGGAGTACGAATAAAGAATAAAAAACCATTGGAGGTAGAGTCCCGCGGGACAGTTCTGAATCCCAAAAAATCTCGTTTGTCCCATGCTGCGGGACAATCGGAATTGTTCTGAAGATTTTTCGGAACGGGACAAACAAGATTTAGGACATGACAAATTTTGTCCCGCAGAATAGTACTTGGAAGTCTCCAATAGACCTGCGGCAGTTTGCAATCCAAGGGCTGAACAGACGTTACTCATCGAGTTATTTGTAAAAAAAAACTGGAACTGATGACCAGTTCTATTCAAAAGAGCTGAACTGTTCAAACAAATCAGTTCTAGACGTGTGACAGCTTCCACATCTATGAACATGTCCTGTTTTGAGAACTGGATATACTAATCAGTTCTTCTTTTTTTGTGACGACTGAAACAGTTATTGAATAGAATCGCTACATTGTCATTATCAGTAGACATACTTCATCCGAAAGATGCTGGTCACTTGGTACAGTTCTCAAAAAAGAATCAGCTCATAGAACCGTGAGTTGTCACAAGCCTAGTTTCCAAGTAGTCTGTGGAGAGTTACGAAAAAGTATATAGCAGAGCTGCTGGCCTGGCCTACTGCCTGATCGGCGTCTGGCAGGCCACTAGGGCAGACCAAATTTTCAGATTTCAGCCTAGCATGATCCATCCTCATAATATACTGCTTGCTTAAGAGGGCCAGATCAGATCAAAGTTGTTGGCCTGGCTCTTAAGTTTCGAAAACCAAACGCTGATGTATCATCTTATTATTCGAGAGTACGGTAACAAATTCATTCGATGCTAGCAACAAATCCTTGAAACGAACGTCAGTTCAGGATTGTAGTACTTATATTCACTGACAGTAGAACTTTTTCCAGATTCAAAACAATTGGATAGTAAATTTTGCGATTGTGCACACTAAGATAAGATGTGGCACATGTGTCGTAATTTGTGGCAAAATATATGACGCATTAAAATACGACACAAGATGCTCGTTGCGACACATTTTATAGGACACATGTGACACCTTCTGAAAGCATGGTTCGAATCTTTTATCCGACGCATTTTTCATCTTTTTTTCTGTAAAAGCGTATCGTGACGTTTTTCAATTTGATTCCATTTAATTATCCCAACTCTGAAAACTCAAGCAGGTCAAATCTAGGGATATGTCCAGCCTTGAGTTGGCCCAATCTCCATCAGATCGCTTCAGAGTAGTCCTATCTCGATCATCGATCGAGGTCGGTATGTTCTCGACTAATAAATAACCGAGAAATAATCTAGAAAAATTATTTTAAAAACGTATGTTTCTTATGCTCAGTCATGTTGTTTATATACAACTGTGTGTGCATAACAAAATGGTGACTGGATAGTCAGCAGACAGAATGTAACAAATTTGTACACGACACAACCCGATCACAACACATTTTTACGCTGAAGTTCACGACACAGAAGTGCGACACATTTTATTTTAGTGTGTGCTGTTGCAAAAATTGACCGTCTATTGCAAATGTACTCGCCTGTTTATGTAAGTATCACTTATTTCCTACATTTTTGTTGTATACTTTCTTCTACTTCTTTGTTGTATGTGTCATCGTATATGCTGTTGAAGTTATCATGATCACATTTCTCGATAATTCGAACGAAAACTGATATGATCAAAGACGTTGCGCTAATTGAAACCTTTTTTCTATGAAAAGTTTTTATGACTATTATATCTCTATTTTAATTTGCGACTTTGTGCAAGAACTTGTTATTATCTTATCTTTATGCAAATAAATTAGGTAAATTACTGAAACTAAAATGGTGCATTAATGCAGAGTTGTAGAATTAAACATATTCACCAAGTCTGAAATATCAATGAGCCTGGTTTGGCCTGCAGACCAGGCCAGATCAGAAAAAAGTGGCCTGTCGGCAGTTCTGGTGTATAGCTTATGTATTGTGAATTTCGCATCAAATCCAAGTACATGTATTAATTTAGATATGTAACTTACATTTCCTATTTGTGAAGAAAGAGAGAAGGAAGAAATCACTTTTTCTGTTACTGACGAAAGTCGCGTGCGAATACGATGATGAACGACATCGGAACATGACCATTTACCCTGATTGTTATTCTGATTACGAATTCTTGAGAAATCTCTAGCATATAATTAGAGAATCTCTGTTGTGATGCTTCGAAGAGATTTTAAAGAGATTCTCTAAGGAGTCTTTTTTCAAGGGAAAATTGGCTGTGAATAGAAATGAATTTACCTTTTTTTGACAATATCCAAAACAGATGCATTTTTTTCATAATTAATATATTCATTTGGCTCAAACCGAGAAAGAGGAACCTAAAGCATATTGCAATAAGAAAAAAACAACTTTTCTTTTTCTTTCATTACATTAAGTGACCTCGATGTCCTTTCACTTGTTGAGACATAAACAGTACGAGTTAAGCAAAGACGCCGAAGAGGTAAAATTGTTTGTGTAGCATTAGCAAACTAAAAATAAGTTAAATTCATAATTAAAATAATTTTTTTCCTTGTCTTCTTACTTTTTCTACACTCAAAATCAATGAAAAGCCTCCTTTAGTTAACATTGGAAAGTAAGCATCAAAATATCCTATAATAAAAATTACATTGGTTATTAAACTTATTGATGCGTGACCTAACGGTTCTATAGAAAAATGTACTTGGATATGTGCACAATTCTCATTACATAAAAATTCTAGAGAAAATATTCTTGTTTTTTTCGATTTATTTATCTAAAGTTTGTTTTGGATTTAACCCGATCTTTTCTTAGAAAAGTGAAAAATACTTTTATAGACGGCGCCACGGATTTCTCTGATTTCATACTTTTTTTTTCAAAAGAGATTGAATTAAATCCAAAATAAACATCAGATTAGTAAATCGATAAAAACAAGAAGATTTTCTCTGGAATTTTTATGCAACGAGAATTATGTCTATATAAAAATGCATTCCAGTTAGAATCACCAGGCTACAGTTCATTATAATATATGGTCTGACGGCGGCAAAGAATGTGATAAGAAATACAGATCTGTGGGTACCGTTTTAGGGAAATGCACAAGTTATGGGAAAAGAATGGACGCCATTATGAAGACACGAATGAAGAAATAGGATTGGCGTAAAATTTTTCGAATAGAAATTGATTATAGTGAGTGATGATTCACATTGAAACAGGCAAGGTATCTATATCTGAGCGTGAAAATATTTTTTATGATCGAAAAAGGCATACTTTTGATCACCGAATTATTCCCGTATTCATGTCTCAAAGAAGAGCATAGATATGAAATATTCTCTTCCTCAATGACCTCACCAGCACTGATACATTCCCACCCTCACCTTCACCTTCACCCTCAAAACTTACGGTTGTCAGCATCTATATATTTCATCGACATTTCTAAACAATTTCAGAACATTATGACAAAGTTTTTGTCATAAAATGAATATTTCAATAAAATTAACCAGAGGTTTGGTAAAAAATTAATAAAAAAAACATTTTTTTCACAATCGTATGCAGCTTTAAATTATTTTCTTACTGCTTTTCTTTACATCATTTTCTCTAATATTTTATTATTTTCATGCTATCAGAAAAACTGTAACGTTTTTAGTGTGAATCATCATTAATTGTAATGATTTCTACTTGAAAAATTTTTAGCCAATCCTATCTCTCCATTCGTGCCTTCATCATGACGCCAATGTTTTCCCTTAACTCGTGCATTTCCCTTAAACGGTGCCTGTGGGCACCGTTTAAGGGAAACAACCGTTTAAGGGAAAATATGGACACCATTGTAGAGGCACATGGAATCATTCAATGGTGACTGGTTTAGCACAAAAAGTTAGCCATAAATAGAATATATGGACTTTTGAAAAATAGAATTATGTATTATTACTTCTGTTTTTATCATAATATATTCATTTTTGAGATTTTTAAGATCACATTTAAATGTTCAACTTATTCTACCGATTTACTCCTGTGTTTTGATTGAGATATTTGTTTAGTGCCGAATTCAAGTTATCCTATGAGATATGTCGACTTGTCTCATGAGATAACTCGAAATATTAAGAATAACTTGCTCAAACCTACGAGGCGACTTATCTCATAGGACAAGTCGAGTTATCTCATAGAATAAGTCGAAATACTAGTTGAGTGAGTAAAATACTTCAGTTAAAAGAAGCGACTTATCCTATGAGATAAGTCGACTCTTGTGACTGAACTACTTTTTTCCAGTATTTCGAGTTATCCTATGAGACAAGTCGACTTAACCTATAGGATAAGTCAAAATACTAAGTGAACAAGTGTAAATGTCTCA